GAATAGTTTCATGGATAACATTTCCAGAAGACAACAAATGACCATCTATGACTCCTACATGTACAGATTTAACTTTCTTTACTAAAAATATTTTTTGATTTTTGACAAAATCTTTATCTATAAAATATGTTGAGGCTCCTGAATCTAACAAGGCAAAGACTTTGTGATTATTAGGTCCTAAACATACTTCTATTATAAAACAATGTGAGGGGTCTGAGGAGAGGATAAGACCTTTACTAGGTGTTGCATATGATTCTACCTGCACGGCCCCTATTATAGCTGAAGAAACTCGTTTTCTAACACATTATCATCTTTGGTAATTGTGCTCCTCATTTTTTAATTGTGTTGCTTCTTTGGACAATATTGAGTACTGTACTTAGCTTCTCCACAATATAAACACAACTCCTTTTGGCAACGTCAAGTCTTTTCCTACTTTGTGAGAGGTTTAAAATATATCATATCAATTTGTATTGGTTTCGGCTTTGACGAATACGTTTCAGAAAACTTATGAGCTGCCACCATTACTTGACTTGTTCTTCTCCAACCAAATCTTTGTTCTTGATGCCTTTCAAATAAATGATTATCATATGCAATGGCTTGAGTAATAAATTATTTCAAAGATTCTACTTTCGGCATTGTTAATAATAAATCTTTGATGCTATCCTTCAATCCATATCAAAATTGGTTGATAAGTGCTTTGTCGTTCCAATCCACGTAATAAACAAGATTTTGGAATTTGACAACATATGTAGTGGTTGATCGTGATCCTTGCTGTAAGGATAAAAGCTTGGTCTCTGCTACTCATTCTCGATCACTTTCACCAAATGTGGCCGTAAACACTTCTAAGAATGAATTTAAATCATAAAAGAATCGTGAATCTTTTTCCATTAAAGGTACAAACCAAGAGAGAGCACTTCCTGATAGTAGTGCATTTATAAATCCGACTTGAATAAATCCATCAGGATATTGGAAATGGTGCAACCTTAGATAGAGCTTGACTTGTTACAAAAATCCTTGAAATTTTGATCTTGTTGCTTCAAACTTCTCAAGCATACTAATCCTTGTCCTTGTCATACTTATAGAAGCAAATTTCTCTAGATTTGGTTGTGACATTGATCTACTTGCTTCTTTCAACTGCACAACTTCTTGCAGCAGACTCTGAACTTCTTCTATAGGCGTAGGCATAGTACTTCCATTCTTCACATTGGAAATACATGAGATTTTCACTCTTAGAGTGTTGACAAGATCATGAAGATCTACAATACTTGCAAATCTATTCTCACTTCCGTTGAGAGTAGCATCTATAATCTTTCTCTCCATAGACAACTCAAACGAATTCAAAAGTTAAATTAGAGGAAGGTAATCTGCAACCTCTAAAAAAAATCCTACAAAGAAGGATAATCCACTTTCTTTAAGGAAAAGATCAGTGTTAGAAAATAAGATTTTTTGTTTAAAGGTGGATATTCCACAACCTTCAAAATACAACAATAGAAGTGGAGTAATCCACTCACTTCTAAAATAAGATAGAAACAATATGTTAGCACTCTTGTCAAACTGTCAAGAACATGAATCTCAAAGAAAGAAAATTTTCAATACACTCTTCTATCACTAAAGAGAACTAAAAAGTCACTCAAAAATGATATATTATTGAATTAAAATGACTATTGCCAAAGACAAGATGACTAGAAAGTCTCTGAATATGACTAAGGACTACAAATGCATTGACAAGAGTGAAGCCTTCTTCACTCTTGCCTCCATATATACTATCTAACTAAGAGCTATGTAGCGATGTCCTATAGGACCTCCAACATGTGTTGATTTTGCTAGCCACATGTCTTATCTTGCAACGCAAGTTATCTATGTCTGCGCCACATAGCTGGCTTATTCCACAAGCTACTACACAGAGATAACTTATTCTACAAGCTACCAATACATGGTTAGCTTTTTGTCCAAGTTTCTAACCTACAAACATATCTAAAGTCAAAACCACATCTATGAAGCTTTTAGGAAGCTTCTCTAGAAGACTTGATGAAATTATTCTATATTTACCTACTTCTACTTAATCATATACGTAACTATTGAGGTAAATATATATGTTTGTGACAGAAATCTAACTTCTTTGCATTTCTTGATGTGCTTCAAGTTGAAGATGTTTTTCTTTCATCTAATTGACTATGCTTTATATGGAATAATTGACAACATGGTGGAGCACGGATCATGGTGTAATTAGATAGGTTTTATACATTCATATATAAGAGACTAGCAACAATTCAATTGTTAAATATGACATTTGTTGAGATTGCTCATGTGCAGACCATCTCTTAGTTTGTTGCATATTCTAACTCGTTCAAATTGCTTGCCAAATTTCTGCTTTTAAAATGAGTATGTTGTATGTCAAGGACAAGAAAGTAGGGTACAAAGTGATGCAACTTTAGGTAGCATATCTTGCTAAGAAATTTATTTCTAAGCTTAAAAGGGTGATCAAGCTCTACCATAGGTACTACATTATCATGTAGTAACAAAGCTATTAGATGAAAGAAGAAAGAAAGTATTTTATTACAAAAGAATCTAATTAAGAATATGTTACATAAAACATAGATAAATGATAGATAGGTAATAAAATCTATTAGTATTAGAATTATATTTTATAAAAATATTTTTTATTTATTTTGTAGAGCCATAAATATAGAAAAATAAGGTAGAATATATATATATATATATATATATATATATATATAAGAAGTTAGGAGTTGATTAAAGCAAAAATTACCTCAAATTACCAAAAATTAATACCCAAAGAGGATCAATTGTCAACCTAGATTGAATTAGATCCTAAGACACAAAATTGTACACTTACGGTGACTCTATGATTTTATTGCAAATTAAAGAGTGGAATTTGAAAGAAGACTTTATATGGTTTCTTTAAGTATTAGTTTTGAGTAATTTGAGCTTATAATGACTTTGTAAGAGCTTTATAAAGTCAGGGTTGTTTTGGTGAATCTAATTTTGTGAAATTAAAAATAATAATTTATATTTGGGAGAATTTTGTGAGTTTGGTAGTAGATCTACAAAATAAAAATTTGTGGGTTTGTAATTATAGTATGAAGTTCTTTACACTTCTCCACTTTTAAGCAAAAAAGGGCTCTAAGGCATGGACTAGGGCAGGTTCATCTTAGAGGCTTGTGGACAATAATCTACACATTGTCCCTTCCAAAGTGGCTGAATAAGTTCTTAGTGAGTCCTTTTGGTGGTCACCTTCCCTCTCCCTCATTGGGGCTAGGGCCAGTTTTTCAAAGCTTATAGCATCCCAGCTTCACAGAGCGGGAATGGGGTGCATACGTGACGGGAGAGCAAATTCCAGATTTCTTACGTCACAAGAAGCTTTGCTTTGGCCTTACAGAGGAAGAAAGTGGAGCGTGGTCTGCTGCAACTGCTCAACAAACAAATCACTGGGGCTCACTACTTGCACATTTGATCTCCCCGGCAGCGAGTGGCGAATGGGTGGGTGCGTTCCAAACAGAGGACGATACCTCCCCCCTGGCTGTTTGGCAGACTCTGGAAGAATACTTGACTGCATGCAGAGCGCCGCCACACGACTTTGCCCTCCCCCCCACTACGGCTATCTACACCGTGCTCCCCTTGTCCCGCTGGCTTCAGAAAGAATCCACATGCTCCCGACCTTTGACTAGAGGCTTTCACCATTGGGTTTGTATGGCACATACATGGAGGGGACCGAAGAAGGAAGCCATTCTGCTCTTCTACGGGAGAGTTGACCACCTTACATGGGATCCGGGCAGAATACAGTGGCTCTCCCTGCATGGAGTTACCCCACTTATGCAATATACCGCAAAGCATGGTAGCGATATGCTAAGGGAGAAACATATCATCCCTAATCATGTCGTTAAAAAGTGGTCTGGCATCCTCTTGAATGCGTATAGATTAAGGTGGAAGTCGGTGTGGATAAAACAGCATGCTAGCAAGGAGGCAGGCCTCCTGTGGTTGCTATGGCCTCGGGCTCTTGCAGTGAACATGTGGAGGTGGAGGGTCAACTGATCTCTCTCCACATGCTGCCCCATCTGTCCGCGCCAATCAGATGAATCTATTCTGCACCGTTTTTGGGAGTGTAATCCTGCCCGGTATGTGTGTCAGTGGGGTGTTCACATAATCAACCTCTTGGCTTACAGGGGGGGGATGCGAGGACCATGGCAACCCCTCTCCTGGCGGCAGGGGCTCTTCTCGGAGTGCATCCCTCGCAAATTTGCGCAGTTCAGTCTCATCTGGTCCCAATTCCGGACAGTTATACTATGGACGTTGTGTTAGGAGCGAAACGACTAAGTGAACGACTTAGGAGCGGAATTACTTAATGAAGTTAGATGGCATTTGACTAAGCTGCTCCAAATAGTAAGGCTCGGCATACTGGACTATGGTCGGGTAGCTAAGGCATCAGTCTGTAAGTCCCGCAAGAATCGTAGCCCGACTAGTATAGCTCTTACGCAGCGTTTCGTAGTACGGTGGTGCTGCCATGGGGCGTTCGCCTCCATGGTAGAGGGCAAAGCCGTAATGGGTATTGTCCGGTCCTATGGTGGACTTTACTTTCCAACCCCCTTATCTGAGTTTTAAGCCGGGCCACAGGACGTGTCCATTGAGGACCATCACTCGGTCAATTAAGGTGCCTTGACTGCATGTATGATGAGTATTACTGTGAGGTCAGTATAGTCTGTTGAGTCAGTCCCCCCACCCAGGCCGCTGGGCGGTTTGTATTGTATTTTGTTCCGATGGCAATAAAGGATTCTCTTTATTTGTTTCAAAAATAAATGAGCGCGTTGATGCTTTTGAATGAATAAATGTCATTTAAGATGAGTGGCGCAGGAGATGCTCTAAGAACGCTTTGGATTACCTGAGACAGGAAGCAGGGTTGTGGAGGTTCATTACTCGATTCAGGAAAGAGTACGGGATGATATGTAAACAAGACTTGCAGAATATTATTCACGCCTTTCGGATAAAGAGAAATCTTCATCTTCACTTTTTAAAAGTGCATATTGTGTTCATAAATATCATTCTCAAACCCTGAAAAAGGAAACTTAGGTTATAGCAGTTTTTCTATACACCAAGATAGTCCATTGATTTATGCCAAACAAAGTGGAGGTCTGGTTCACCAACGACCCCTACAAACTCCAGAGCAACAGAAAAGAGTAGCTATTCGGAATGTAGCCTCATGAATTTCCGCAACGTTTTCAAGTTGAACGAGTTAAAATAGCATTGTGAACTCATGTCCACAGCTAGAGTGTACAGGGTAAATTGAATCAGTGGTGTGTGTGAGCCACAACTGACTCTGTCTCCCTTAGATCTGGTCCTGCAGCAAAGCTTAATTGCGTGGACATGGCTTTATTTTTTACCCTTCATCGCATTATTTCGTGATCTGCCTATGCCTTTGCCTTTACGGGGAACCGGTGCCTTAACAATTTTTGCTCCGGACTGATGGAGTCGATGGGCTAGTATCTTGGGTTGCCTTGTTGCCAGATCAAATGCGCGCAAACAAACATAACCTGCAGTAGCTAATTAAACTTGAGTTTGAAGTATGAGGAGCTGCTTGCTTTCAAGCTCAGAGTAAAGCATATAATAATGTGTGATGTTAATATTAGCTGCAGTACATACAGTACTATTGCAAGGAACGCAACAAAAGGGAGTAAACACGAGTTGTTGAAAAGCAAGTGGAGTAGTTCATTAGGTTTTCTTACCTTTCTGGAAGCAGCACCGTATTTCCTCCAGGGACATGTCTGTAACACAGCGTGTACAACAACATGAAGTTCACACCGTATTTGAATCACTAGGAGCCTAAGTTTACGGATACTTGCGAAACCCCTTCACCCAAAAAGTGGGTCTTCTTCCCGGATAAATGGAAGTGGAGGAAGAACTCAATGGTACGACTCTAGCGAATGCATGCCTGTAGAGATAAAAAACAAAAAAACAAACTGAATCGAATTACCTTTGAAAAGATTACTCACAGCTGTGCTGAAATATACAAAGCGACGCCGGAGTGACCAGAGAAGTGTCCGGGGAACAGAAATTGGTTGTAAACTGCTTGTATGATCCGCAAATACCTGCCAAAGCCAGGCAGATCTCTTATTTGATGGTATATTACTTGCACTAAAATATTACAATACGATTCAATACCACGAACTTTTTCAAGGGTTGTAGATATCAACTTCCACTAACAATGAGTACGATCTAATTCACATAAGAATTGAGAAAGCTTTGTTTCTGCAGCGCGATAGAGAAGCACCTCATTAACTTGGAAGTATGTCCCGTTCAATGGAAACCATCCTCTCATGGCTGTCTTACATGGAATCTGCAGCAGCAGCAGAAGCTGACAGTAAGTTCTGGCTTTGGCACCCAACTTTTATACCGGGTTGATTGAGGCTGAATGGCAATTCGGTTAACATTTCATTAGTTCAAAACCGGAAGAAATAATTCAAGCCGTAGTCTTACTAGGAGTGTTCCTCGGACGGTCCGTTCTAGGTGGTTGTCGTCACATGAAGCAAATGGATTTCTGGCATCGTCATCATCGAACTTGGGCATGGTTGCAGGTACTTCATCTACAATCGTCACAGAATGTAACTTCGTTTGATATTCTTCGATTGAGGAACGATGACCAGCTGATGCCTCAGGGCTTCCAAGTAGAACAGACATGCTTAATTTGGAAAGCATAGGTGCAATGCTTGAGACACTTAAAACACATAGATAGATCTCAAAGCGATTAGAAAGGTTGTCAATTTTGATGGAAAACTGAAGGAGCTTGCCTGGACTCCATATGGCCAGGAGGTAGAAACACGGATCATCAGGTTCCCTTTCGTCCATCTGTTCACTCTCCGTTCAGGTGGTTATCCTCAACAAGACTTGGTAGCATTCACTTAATTGTTTTTGACTATATCGCAAAATAGAAATAGCACAACTCTGTTCATAAATAAGACTACAGGAAATCACTGCTTACCGCGAAAAGAAGCGGGTGGTTATCAGGCAATTCGTACCTGCAACATTCACCGCATAAAAATCCCAATAAGTTATCAGGAAATTTTTAAGATGGGTCGCTTGCGAGATGACCCCTATGCCTCAACAGGTTTGAAAGCAGTAAAAAAATAGCAGGTGGGGCTCGCTGCTACTCACACATAGTGCACAGTTCGCAGACGCTGGACGTTCTTCAATTTTGGAGCCGGTGCCAAGTCGGCGCACGGAGGAAGCAATATCAGCTCCTGTGATGGAAGGTGATTGAAGTCTTCTGTCAGCACTGGTGACGCAACATCTTCCTGATTGTCCTTGTCAATCACTAGACTATTCGCAGGAGCCTCTTCTGTAATATCCATATTGGCCACCATGGTTTCGTGCAACTCTATGTTTTTCTCAATAGTTACTTGTATATTCTTAACAGCCTCTTCATTTTCATCAACCTCAATAACTGAATTAAATGCAGATATCCTCATCTTTGTTGCAGACAACTCATCAAAATCATCCGGTACTGGACCAGTGATTAAATCTAGTGTGGTTTCTGTTACATCTAGAATTGAACGTAGCTCCCCAATGATCACTGAAAACATTGAAGGTTGACCTGTTCCAGTCTGAACAGGACTATTGCTTTCATTGTTATCAATTCGGAAAGGATTCTCTTCAATGTCAGGGATATTATCAATGCATGGCTCCGGCGAACAAGGCTCTTCTATAATTGGTAAACAAGCAACACTTTGAACTTCGGTTAAACGACTATCTGATATTACTGACTCTGCCTGCGGAGCCGGATGATGCTCAGGCAATGCAAACACTGTTGATTGCTTATTTTGAGGCTTTTCAGGCCACTTGAGGAGTAACTTCGCACTGCCAAACATGAAACATGGACAGTAACCGAAACTTAGAGACTGGTCATGTGAGTGAGATCACTTAAGATAATCATTTGAAGAAGAGACTGAGTGTGTGTGTGTGTGTGTGTGAGAGAGAGAGAGAGAGAGAGAGAGAGAGAGAGAGAGAGAGAGAGAGAGAGAGATTTCCTTGGCGAGAATAGAACTCACCTAGCATATGAGCTAGCGTAGTGTTTGCATTCGCTGCGCAAAGGACATGCATTGCAGTTCGGCTTACTTTTTGTACAAAATACCTGCAAGAAAACATCACCCACTATTGCACAAGTTCAATTCTCAGGGTGCTCCTGATATGAATACCAATGGTGTCGTTTCCTGTCAAGATAGATTAAAGGGTGAATTTCACCTTCCCGAAGGTGATCATGTGGTAATGAAGCTCATATCTGCACCCACACCAATACGTAAGCTAATCAGTGATAGGTCTGCTACATCCCCAGAGTGGCACTTTATCTGCACTAGGTGATGTACTCTTAATAGTGCTCACAGTGTTTGCTGGTCGAAAGTACAGAGCCGCGGCCACATATATTGCTGAATGTGTGATTGAATGGGATACCTGGAACCAAAACAATCAATCCATGTCTGAGCTCAACCCACATATCAGCAATTGAGATGAGCTCACATACAAGTTTTGAAGTGACGGTTCGATTTATTTTCGCAGATCAAACAAGTGGGTCGGCGCTCGCTTACAATTCCAATAAATGCAACTGGGTTTCTTCAGGTAAAGGCTCCAGTGGAACCCAACCCAAGCGCACAGCAATCCGCCCAACGTTTGTGTCAACCTGTCCATCATCTCAGAATTTTAGTTCCACTTAACAAGATCACACTCCCTAGCGATTTGATGTGCTCTAGCAATCGTGATTCGACACAAAGGAATGCATCATTTCTTACAGGAAAAGAAGGGTGATGCAGGCACAGCAGGCGGATGCATTCAACGCTCTTGAGTCCAACGCCGCGAAAGCTTAGCAGAAACGCTCTGCCGACAAAAACAAGGCTTAACATCCGAAATCATTCTACTGCCTTGTGGACAGACTCAAAGATGCACAGTGAGGACAAAAATTCTAGGAGCAGCATAGAAGAATTAAACTTACTTGGCATCCTCGGGTGGGAGCTTCCGGATCCACTCTAGATCAATGACACCGTTCTGATCACGGTGCACCCGATCTAGAAATGCCTTCAACCTCCCTGCAAGAGCATTATGTTGGCCCCGGTTCTTGATCACATCTGCAACTTCGTGAACCGATGCCTGTTGCACCGCATTCCAATCTACACAATCTTCAGTTAAGGTGTCTCGGGAGTAAGTTTGTTCTGCTACAATTCGGGCTCGCAGAGGCTCCCATTTATCCTTCTGTGACTTCATCACAAAACCAGCTTCCCAGTTCGCTCTTGCCTCACCCCTTAGCAACCTAAATGACACAGTTTGCCTGTATCTGTAGTTGTCAGTCCTCTTCCGCAAAGCATTTCTCCCAGGTCGGAGCTTTGTGTTCTTGAAGGCCTTTGCGGCAACTTTGTTCCTCTCTGTCGCGGTTTGGTGCTTTCCAAGTACCAGACGCAGCGTCGCTGCGAGGATCTTCTCTTTCCCAAGTAACGATAAATTTGTCACATTTTCCTGCAAGACATTTGCGAATTTCTCCTGGATGACAGCATTTTTCCCATTCCATTGTGAAGCCGACGGAATCTGTTCTGCCTCACGATGATTCTCCACTGCCGAACACTTATCAAACTCTGCGTCATTAACATAATTTTTTTGATGTATATCCGTTTCCATGACAGGATTTGCAACCTCCTCCAAAGAGCTTTCCTTCACCTCCGAGCATACTCGATTCTTTTCAACTAAAGTTAACTGCGATGGCTTATGCTTCAACTGCTTGTAAGATTTGCTATCCTTTTCATGTGAACTAAACCCTGCTCTTGAATGTGGCGATGCACATCGGTGTGTGGTTGTTTCAGAAGCCTGCATGTCCAGGATTTCAAACAATTCAACTTCCGATTCGTTCCAGTCGCTTCGAGTGCTGCGCAGTACCACGACCTTTTCCGCATTGTTGACATGCAATGCGCTGACTTCTATCTGATCGCAGCCAGGAATGGAGGTAAGCACTTCCTGCAGAGCATGATCCTTGTGGTCAATGTGACACTCTTTCAATCTCAGGCTCAACATCTCAACAAGTTCCGGAAGCACTTCGTCAACACAAATGTTCTTGTTGACACCGTGAGAGAGCAGTGCTGCCCCCCTCACCGATGAGTCCCCCTGGTTTTGATTCCCCGATTGATGGTTTTTGAGTTCAGATCTTGAAGGCCTCTGGAGAAGAGGAGTGAATTTAGCTTGCTCGACCAGAGGTGGGGCCTCTGCCAGTGGAGTGTGGGTTTCTTCATCTGCAGTTCCTGGGCGTGCTGGGAATCGTGCTCGCAAGGCCATGAAAGCATTACTGCACAGATATTCCATCACATTATTAGATTGTGCAATGACTTCATTTATAAATCCAATTGCTAATTGTTGCCAATCGGATCGTACACAACTACACATACCTGGACAAAAAGTCGGAAACATTCTGTGTGAGGAACGCTCCACCCACAGAATCCATGACAGAGCCCTTCCACCTTGAGAAAGCTCGATTTCCTACAATCCAATGCCAAAGAGACGGTCGATTTGTTAGGTCATGAGTAATAGAGGTTTGTAATGATGATAATTCTCCAGTCTGAGTGCGATGAGGACTTTGAATACTACTGTAAGCTTGGGAATTTGCCTCTACCTTGAACTTGGCGCATGATGGAAATAAACTGATGAGCTCGATTTTGCCATTGCTGCCTACACTCTTCCCAGGAAGCTTTATTCCGTTCTGATTCCTCATGACTGGAGCCTTTCATTGTTAGAGTTTTGAACATCTTCACAGTGTTGAGGTCCAAGTCAACCTTCGGCTTGTAACGAAGTCTCCGTTTCCGCTGAGGCAGATCCTTGTAAACGACCATTTTCTTCGATCCCTCGTCGTAAGCCACTATCTGAAGCTCTTCCTCAAGCCTTTGTTCGTATGTATTCACGGGCAGCGAAACTGTCACTCCAGAACAGAGTTCACGCAGATCACTCAAATCCTTAGCCAACGACACATTCACGAAGGGGGCATAGTTAGCGGTAACAGAGTCTGTGTCTGTGATCTGCAATTCACAGCTAGTGGTATCATACGCAGCATGCTGCGGCGATTCTTCTCTTGAAATGCTCTCCTGCATGCCCTCGATCAAAACATTTCCTCCTTTCCTGCCGTCGGCATCGTAGCACTTGACAAAGTCGGAGCTTCCAACTTGCAATTCCTTCGTGCGTGTGTCAAAGTTGAGAGCACGCCTAGTGGTAGTGGCTGAATTGCTTGATTCATATTCTTCATTGCTGTACAACATATTCCAATCGGAAGCTTGTGGTAACAGTGGCGAAGATGGAGGCATAATGAAAGAGAGATTCTGACCAACAGAAACGAATGGAAATGCTCCGCGGGGTGTGGATGGGAGATCCTCTGTTGAACAGTGATTCATGTTGCATACTTCGAAAACCTCCTCTGCGTTGGTAGCACAGTCATGGTCGACAGGATTCAAAACATTTTGTATCTCGGTTCTACTTATTACATTGCCAGGAATTCTTAGAAATGCTTGCACAAGCATATCTGGCATAAAATTACTCCCCTGGTCTGACGGCGGGGGTGCTAACTGGAACGAGCCGCAATTGAAGTTTTCTTGACTAGCAGCAGCTAACGGCCACGAGGGCGTTTCATGAATCTCAATTGGATTCTCAGCAAATGGAGACTTCTGATGAAAATCCGAAAACTCCTTTGTCTGAGTTGATGACAATACCTCCTCAGAATCCAAATGCTTTTGTTCCTTGTCTTCACCAGGGTTGTGCTCCACCATCACCGCATCGGCTATTTCTTCTACTACAAGATGATCTGTGTATTGCAAAAAATTTGCCGAGAGTACAAAAGTCTGCGATGAATTCATTGCTTTTGTCTTCTTCAACTCCGTTGCTTCTACAAGCATTTCTTCACGCTCTTTTACACATGTGTTACTAGCGGCTTTGGTTAACTTCCCTTGTTTCATGAATTTCCGTTTTACATAAGCCCTTTTGTTTGTTCCTTCGGCCCATTTAAGTCTAGCCAAGTTTTTCATCCGCAACACAGTCGGGGAAATTGTGTCGAAATTGATCGGAACAGTAGGACTAATATTGAGACCCTCCTCCACTCTCAGCTTCTTCGCGAGGCTCACCTTCGGTGTCTCGGATAATATTTTGGGCTTGTACCTCCTCTTCCTTGGCTTCTCCTTCGCATCCAGTTGCACTTGCATAGCCGCAGACTCCTGAGGTTGTGCGATCCCAACGCGTCATTTTAAAAATGGTGATCATACGGACACATCTTCCTTTTGCGATTAATAACTTCGAGTCAATAAAAATAGTATGGGTTGAACAAAACGTACACAAGGCTGTGCAAGTTGATGAGAAGTAGGGGCGATCGTTCTCTGATCCGCAGTGAGCACGGATCGGTCGCAACACACTGGATTTGCACCAGTCGCCCTCCGTGGTGGGCACTTTGTCTCATCGTTTCTGAACATGGCTCCTGCAAGTGGAATCAATCTACAAATCAGTTCCACCCAATTGGCAGCAACCGGGGAATCATATCACTAGGGATACCTTCCGTGAAATGAAAGGGTTTGAAATGCTCAGTGATAGTACAAAGAAACAGCCACATGGAGAGCGGCGAATGATGATCTCAGTGGTAGAGTTGCCATACCGGAAGTGCGACTTGCAAACAGTTCTGTTAAGGGAACCGAGTCGGTAGACGGTGATCTTCCTCGGTCCTGAATGATTTCAAGAGTTTGTGGACCAGCTACTCCGCTTTGTGGACCCCCTTTGGATGCTTGCAGGTTTCGTTGAACACCCGGCATAATCTCTGATGAGCAAAGAGGCTGCTCGTCCACGTTATGAACACCCGAGGGTGATGCTCCTGCGAGACCATCACCAGTTCAGGCAAAGTCGAAGTATCTTGAGAACAAAACGTGTATCTTGAGAACAAAACATTCCAGGATTAATTTCTGCATTCCATGCTGAATTCACCTTGAACGAGGTCGACCCCGTTGGCTGAAGACATCAGCTCCGTCTCGAAAGAGCTTACAAGGTCTACTGAGCAACAGAGTTGGGTATTCCTCCTGTGCAAATCTTCAGTTGCGAGTATCCGCCTCACCTCTCCGTCTTCATCGTTGAGTCTCAAATTGTCCCGAGTCTGCACAATACGGACAGCTTCCTTCCTCTGAAGCGAGTCTCGAGCTTCATCGATGCACGGAGTGTCTCGAAACACATGGACGCCAGCATTGGGGGGCACCACATCATGAGTGAACAGGTTGTCCACTTCCGTCGCTCCTCGTGGAGCTCTGAATTCACCGCATTCCATGAAACCATCGCGACCAGCGACCGCCTGCACTACAGCATTGGTGTAGGACAGAATGTGCGAGGATCTGCATGATTCGCATCGTGGCAGTACATTGTGACCACCAATCGCTTGCAAAACCAGATTGGAATGCATTGACGCAGCCAAGGGGCGCGCAGCGTGACTGCTAAATCAGTTCAGCTTCCAGGTGATGGAAGCCCCGAGCGATGGCTGTTACAACGATACACTTATACCAGAATTCTCTCAAACGCATGTAAATCGAGGCTATCCCTCACTCGACAGCCCCTACGAAACGTCCCCCACTTCCATGGGCAAGGGCAGTGACCTTGTGTGCACGACGCACCCTCTTCTTCATCACGGCTTCCAATTGCACGCAGTTGCTTAAACTAGCAGGAACGAATGCAAGGCTTGACATCGCCCCCACTTAATTCACAAACACCGCTCTAAAACAATCTGCCAAAAATATACAAGCAGTCGGATCCAATCCAAAGCTAAACGTCCACCTCACACATCCTCCATCAAACCGGGCACAATGAACGAAATCCGCCACCCAAACCGGCTCACTTCTGAGTCTGAAAACGGATCTAATGCAACATCCACATCCATTGGTTCCACTCATCTGCAAAAAAAAACTAGAAGAAGCTGAGCAAAGCTCAAAATGCGTCGTCGTCGTCGTACCCAGCTGGTCTCAGCACGTCCGCCGAATTCCAACCACGGCAGAGCACTGATTCTTATGACCCACACACTTTCCCAGAATCCGTTTTGCTGTAGAAGAAGAATCCTCTCTCACATGCAGGGATCTCGTCTCGTCGCTCAAACTCTCACATTTGCACATTGATGTGACTGATTGATTGATTGTATGCACACACACACACACGATGACGATACGCCCACATCATCCAGATCTCATCTTCTTCTTTTTATTATCTTTTTGCCCCTCTTCCTACCTTAACTTCTTATCTTCTTCTTCTTCTTTTTGTTTTTATTTTTTTAATTGTGATTCTTTATATTGCTAACAGAAAACGTAGTCACTCAGCTTGTAGTCACTCAACAGACACACCACTCTTGAATCCTGAATTCATGAACCCATACAACACCCTAAAATTGAAATCTTCCCTTCTTTCTACACATATATATATATATATATATAAATTTATATATATATACTTATTTATTTATTTTATTTTTTGAAATTTAGGGCTTCTCCATACCCTAGATTTGGCTCTTCTTTTGAGTACCACACTCAGAGGTCAATGAGCCTAATATACGGTCTAATCAGAAACATTTATTTTAAAATACATGTACGAATTTGAAGAAAGAAATAAATGACACCATTTGTATGATATCATTCAAACCCATTTTTTTAAACACATCACATGTCAAAAAAAAAAAAAAAAAAAAAAAAAAACTAAAGAGTGGTTTATCATTGTTTCCAAATAGCTGATTAGGTGATTAAATATACTTTCCTAATAAATAGTTCTAAAACCCATACTATAAGTTTAGATAATTATTGGCAGTGTCAGTTCACATATTGAATAACATAAATTTGGATCTTGTTTTTATAACTTCAATTTTTTTTCAATCTTAGATTTTTGTTATGATTGTCCATAGCCCAAAAGAATGCCATACAAAATGTCATGCTGATATATAAAAGAATTGATTTATACTGAATTTGAATATATATATATATATATATACACACACACACACACACACACAGAGAGAGAGAAGAAGAAGAAGAATTTTTGTGGTTGTATAAAACTTTGAGTAATAATAATAAAAATAAAATAAAAATTTATTGTTATTCGTAACCACCTTCTTGGTTTTAGACAATATGTTTTAAGTCATACTAACCAATGATATTTTATTTATTATATATGTATGTATGTATGTATGTATACACACACACTCTTATATTTGTTTCATGATTCATATATTTGGAATTGAATTGGTTGTTTGATTTCGAATTTTCTTGGAGTATATGTGCTTGTAGCCATGGTGTTTCAAATTTACAAAATTTTCGTTAAGTAGATGTACACAATAATTTTGATGAACAAATTTCTTTGTGATTTATAGCTTTGTAGACTGAGCTTTTTGCATATTATCTTGCTAAAGTTGTTACCACTGTTGCTGCAAAAGAATGTTTGAATGTCATTTTTTGTGTTCAATTTTGTTATTGCTAAAAAGACTAGGCTTCATTCCTTAAAAAAAAGTAACATTAATATCCAACAATATTAATAGTCAGTTGCTATTGAAACAAATTAAAAAATTATATAATTTAAATCCATAATAAAACAGTTGATTAATCCTTAATGTGATTGAATTAACCAATTACTCAATATATAAAAATAATAAATAATTTTATGTTTACAATTATTAAAGTAATAAAAAATGATTTATTATAAATAAATAAATAAATAAACAAAATCATAATTACAAGATGTTTAGTTGTAAAACTACAAAAGAAACCTATTTAGCTAGCTATATATATTGAGTCCTAAGATATTTATTAGACAATAAAAATTCGTTATCATTGAAAGATCATAATGTTATATTATTGCATATAATGTAAAAATTTAGTATGTGATTGGTTGAAAAAAAATTATAATATTTTCAGGATATTTTTCCACACTTTTAGCCAAATACTTCTAGAAAAGTTTTAAAAAATCCACACATTGCTTGGAAAATTAAAAATAAATAAATAAATAAATAAATAAATCACATTGCAATTGGCATTTAGTTATAGTCTATTTAATCAAGTAACTAACTTAAGTTAGTACTCATATCTTGTAAATTGAAATTCAAGTCACATACCAATTTGTTTGTATTAAATGGATATAATCACTAGTTTCTTTGTTTATGCTGTTTTCTTTTTTCCTGATTTGATTTGAAAACAATAATTGTAAATGTAGTAAGAAATTTATTGTCTATTTATCTAATATATAAAGATAATTCTATGTAGCAATATATTAAGTTAAGTGACAAAAGATGCTTTTAAATATATTAAGGCATGTAAACATAAGTACAATAATTACTAAATTTAAAAAAATTTATCTTTATAATCAATAAAAAAATATACATAACTATGAACTTGAACTTTAGATTAGTAATTTAAAAAAATATATAGAAAAAAGATTACAAAAAAAAAACAAAAAAACAAAAGTGAAGTAATTAGCTATAATCACAAAAACAATAGAATTATTGTATTCAATGTAATGAATTATTGTATTCAATGTATTGAATTATTGTAGTTTGCTAAAGCTATCATGTGGTCTAAAAAAAAATATGTTTCTAAACCAAGTCAATCATTGGTAGAGGACTAATTGAGAGTGTGTCTGCATTCAAAGGTCTTTGTTATTGGACTCTAAACTATTATTGTAGGAGCCCAAATCTGAGATTTGATTTTAAGAAAATTGGTTTTTAAAAACCATTTTTGAATAAATGATGACTTTATATATTGGCATATTGTTTTCCTAACTGGGCAATATACTCTTCTTTATTTAACTACTTTATTAAAGAAAGAAATAAATTACTGATAAATGTAATCATAAAATTAAAAAATCAGACAAAATTTTAAAAATTATTGAATATTATGTTAGCAAGACTATAATGTAACTTAATCCTGATTTTATATAAGTTATGTTTTCTAAGTTCCAGAGAACCCTATATTAATATTGTTTGTACACAACAAAAGATTTAAGAATATGTAGTATTTTCTATGAAAATTACTAAAAAATAACCTTAGATTTTAATAAGCTATAATGGCTACTAGATGTTAGTGAAAGACTATTATAATATTTATAATAATAAAGAAGGTTCTTAAATGATTTAAAAGGTTCAGAAGGCCAGCCTAAGTCAAAATTGATGTTTTTGTTTCTTACTTATCAAATGATGTACTTCTTTCTTGGCGACTTTTAAAAAATTAAATATTTTAAATCTTTTACAATCAATACAAAGTTCTTGTTAAATATTTGCTAAATATTTTATTTTTTGCAAAAAGTAACAATACACTGAATATTTAACACAAATCATTTCAATTATATTTTTAATTCAATATTAATAACTGCAAAAATATTTCAATATATATATATATATATATATATATATTAAAGGAGTCAAATATCTTCTTAATTGTATAGTTAAATTATACATTTATAGCAGACACAATTTAAAATACATAGAAAAATGTCACAATAACAACATAAATAAAACCATATGGTCTTATTACTATTAAGTTGCAAAAAAATGTTTTTAGTTGGGTAATTGGTAAAATCCTCTCTTTCAAGACAGTGGTTTGAAATTCACATTTGGTAAAATAGTACATATTTAAAAAAATTAATTCAAAACTTTCAATTATATATATATATACTTGTATTGAAAGTGTCATTTCCAAAAAAAAATACTTGTATTGAAAGTGTCATTTCCAAAAAAAAATACTTGTATTTATTTTATTTATTTATTACAAGCTTATTTATCAGTTTGTGGAGGAAATTAAATTAAAACTACTAAAAAAATAAATATATTGTTTTATTTATAATTTATTTTGTTAGGTTTCTTAATTGTGAAAATGTGTATGTGAAAATAACATTTAAAAGGTTTGCAATAAAACCAGTTATGAAGTTGTAGAGCATTTAGACCCAATGAAATTATGAAGCCAGATTCATACAAATTAAAATAAATTAGTCAATTTCATAGGTAATATTAATAAAGTCATGTCATTTACAGATTGAACAGAATGCATGAAAGAATGTAGTATTTGTCAAAAGTATAATATATACATGTTAATTAAGAGTAAGAAACATCATATGATTTTCATTATGTATATCACAAAATCACTTGTGAGATTAGAAGTAGAGTTGACGGTTTTATTTTTTACAACAACTTAAGAACACTAGTATGTGATTATGTCGACCAATCATATAATGAAATGAAGATGGAAAAAAATCTTGGTGCTTAAAAATTCAGGTTACACTTCTCATGATTACACTTTTATGCTTAAATAAATTATGTTGGATTATGGAAGTCTATTTGAGATTTTAATTGACAGAAGTTGAAGATTTTGCAACACAGTTGTAGAAGTGATAACCTTTAATGTACATTTAAAACATACAACTACTTCACCAAATCATTTTTAATGCATCAGCTTAAATTAAGAATAATAATAATAATATTTTTTTTTTGTGCTGTATATAAAATGAAATGTTATCAACATACAATCTCTTTACAACCTTGTTTGAATGTTAAACCACCGTACATTTTATCATTTTATTTTATTTTATTTTATATTTTTTCTAGAATGTTGTGTATAAATTGCACAATTTATATTGGCAGTAGCTTTCAGTATCCAAAAACATATTTGGAAAAGTTGATCAACTTAATTTGGATTTCTTATTGGCTTGTAAGACTCAACTTTACTTGCAAGTTTTGCATCACTTTGTCAAAATTCAATTCGAGTTTTCAATATACATATTGTAAATCAATTTAGTGACATTGTAATCTACCACAACATTTTCTGTAAAACAAAAAAAGGAAAAGAAAAAACCCAAGTCAAATAAAAAAAAATTATGTCTTGTGATTGTTAAATGGCAAACAAAACAAGGAAGTTTTCAAAAAATATTAAAGCTATTACAATTATTAATATGGAAAAGATAATTTAGTGGATTTCACTTTAGAAATAGACTGTCCACACAGATCATGTGTTGGACCATAAAATCACCCATTAACCATCACATCAACGACCCCAATTTATGTAAAAGGGCACAGAAGAAGTCCCACCATCTTGTTCAGTTGAGGATCATCACTTAACCAGTCACATACTTCACGTACTCATTTATCTCTATTGTACTAGAACTTAGGGCAATTTAAGGCTTAATTAATTACATTAATTCGGGTAAGCAATTCAAATACCCAACTTCAGTGTTTAGTCCTTTTCACATACTCACATCTATCTCTCGTGGACTTTGTGGACTTCGTTTCTGGTGATCGGCACTTACCAGAATTTAGGGTTCAGGTTTAAGGTTCGGAGATTGTGACGCAGCAGTTAATGCACACACTGAGTGCGAATCAGAACCCTATCCACGCGCTTAGAAGATTATTTTTGAAGCATGCACACATTACTAAGAAGATTGGAGCGAGGAGAACAAACAAAGAGCCTGACGGAGGAGGACGGCGAGTTGATAAAAAAATCGTCAAAAGAGACCGTCCTCGATCCCCCTCTGTTCCGTTATTCGCCTCCTTGGGGCTTGCACGATGTCAAGTCGAGGTTCAGGACACCTGCTCGGAAAGGAAACAATCCTTCGCGATATAGGACCATTCTCGGTGCCGTTCCATGCTGATATGATAACTCTCACCACAGGCAGTGCTATCAAACTGTTCACAACAATCCTCACGGTGGGGAGAGATGTTGCTCCCATTGCTACAACAAGATAATCTAATTCGTTGGCACACACAGTCAATCTGTACCAATTTTAAACCCACTTCGGAAACCCACTTTTTCCTCGTCAGTAACAAGAAGATGGACAACAACAAGACACAAGACACAGTCTACTGCCACACTTCTGAATCATTCTTTCTGTAAAGCACAAAAGAACCCATTCAGTGCGGTCCCACAATGAGTACGACCCAGTTGGCTCGCGATCGCAAAAAACGCTAGCAAGCTTGGCACGCTGGGAATAATTAATCGTGTTCCATGATTCCGTGCACGACATGGGATTTCGAAGCTTTGGAATCATCATCTCCAATCATGTAAAGCTGAAATATTCTATACCAACTTCGAAAACTAGTGAAAATATTTGTTTGCAAGGGCTTCATCGGCTCTGGAACGAACACAATGAGAGGTTTATACCCGCTTAGTATCCGTCCCCAAACGTAGCCCCTACCAGATCAAGAACCGCTTAATAACCGTACCCGGATTCCTATGATACCTCAAGCGCGGGCAGAACTCTTAGTTCCAAGCCGACATATTTGGTGACGATTCCCTAATCCTACCGAACATTCGAACGGTGTTCGCACGCACCATGGTATCATAGGATTCCGGGTACGGTTATCACAGGGTTCTCTCTCATCTGCTTGGCTCTCTCCTTGTGCTGTGTGTGTCTTGGCGTTCTCGCTCCGTTGCTCTCGCGTCTGTGTACAAATCTATCGGGGCAAGTTTAGTGTGGTTTGAGGAAGGCTGTGTTTATCGCAATTTAGAGGAAGACGTCGTAGACGATCGGAGGACCGTGCAAGGCACTCCAGGTCGGCAGCCATGATGGAAATGGAAGAAGGCGAGGAGGTGAAACCGGTGAAGAAGGAGGCTACTACGCCCGCTACGTCGGGTGCCGGAGGAGGAGGAGGCGGGGGTGGATGGGGCTGGGGAGCCTGGAAATCTTCCGCTTTCTCCGTCTTGAACGAGATCCAGCAGGCAGCGGCCGAGGCTGCTGAAGAGATTCAGAGAAATGTGAGTGAGAAGATTCTGTTTTTATTTTCCAATCCGTGGGGGAGGAGAAATGCTGTGGTGATGGTAGGGTGAGGTTTTCTTTGAGTTGTTAGAGTGAGAGTTTGTGTCGACGTTGTGACAGCTGGTGTGGTAATTGGTTGTTGTGTGATCGTAGCTTGAGTATGTGCAAGAGGCAGCAAGAATTTGCTGCGCAGTGTTGAGAGTTGATTTTAATTACACGGTGCTGGTTTTCTCCTGGCGCACTCTGCCCTTGTTCTTATAAGGGTGCGGCCTTATTTTATTTTATTTTGTTTTTGTTTCGTTGATGTTTTTACGTTGTTTCGTTGAAGGTTAGGTTCAAACCCTCGTCTCATGTGTCTCGGAACGGAAAGTGTACTGCCGAGTACTCTTTCATGATTTCTGTGCGGCACTTACCACAATATCGGGTAATGTTTTAGAAGTAGAATAGTTTTGGGGAGATAACAACGTTGAGTGGAAAACACTCCAATCTTATGATCCCTATAATTAGGGAGTTTGATATGAGAATTCGTCGCTTGATGTTCTCTGGCCATTTAGAGGTGTGATTGTACCTTTAGGGTCTTATCATACTCACTTGGTGCGATGTTTTGTGTCATCGCTCATGAACGTTCAAGGGAGAATCCTACATTACTTGGAACTGCTAAATAGCCACTCATGTGCTGCAAAGAGCTTCTATTGACCTTAGATCTTACAGAGTCAAAGCTTATTCGTTTACTCTATGCTGGTTTTGGACGATTCGATTTTCGTAGCCTTTGATTTTTGTCCCTAACCAGTTTGTGTGTTGATTTTAGCGCATTAAATATAATATATTCTTTTGGTTGCTTGGTAACGAGGTGCTGAACCATGCCAAAAAAATACTTGGCGTGTTTGAAAGCCCCGTTGAAATAAATATTGTTTCACATCTTATTGATGTTGATCTGCATTGGTTTAAGTTGCTACATACATTTTTCCAAATGTTCAAGTATATGCTCTGTGTAACTTTTCTGCGCTACCCCTCTGTTACGAAATTTATATATAGCTCTGGTTAGATGCCGTTTTTTTTGTTAAAAAAGTCCTGTAGGGAATTCTGATCATCATCAATACATGTACTTGTCATTGTAGGCAGCAGCAGCTAAGGAACTTGCAGCGAAAGGTATTGCAGACCTTCAGCATACTGTAACGGATGCAGTGCAGGTGGTGGATGATGAGGAGGTGGATGCTCTGAAGGATGAGAACAAGGAGTTAGAGAGTGCTGACCCTAAGGAAAGCAGTGAGGAAGATGCTCGACGCAAAGCTGCCTTAACGAAATTGGAGAATGCGAGTCAAGACTCTTTCCTTGGACAGGTTTGGCAGCATTAGGCCATGAACTTTAATGGAACTTCCTGTTTTCAGCTGCTTTTGCATTAGAATACTTCTCAATCTGTTGAATTTGGGAAACATGGGGTCCAATACTCATGATTTTGGGTTCGGTTGTGCCTAATGCAGGGTCTAAAAGTACTGGATGACTCGGTTGATAACCTGACTACGGGTGCATGGCAAGCGCTAGGAAATGCATGGAAAGAAAGTGTCAATCTGGTGCACAAGTAAGCATCTATACTTTGCTTCTGTTCGAAGACTTGAAACTCGAAATGATGGCTACTGCAAGCTAACTTCTGCCTCTGACTTTTGCATGCTACCGTAAGAAGTGTAAGTTCACTGACTAGTTGGCAGTATTAAAGTTGAGACGTGTTTGGAACCAGGTTGGAGAATACGACCTTACACCAAGGCGGAGTTCTTCCACCAAATCTCCTCCAGGTGGGAATTGGGCGCTTGTCCAGTCTACATTTGTCTAATCTAATGGCAGTATGTTTCACATTACAATCCACCAGTGTTAACAAACACAAATGCGTGGATGTACTAACTTGTAGCATGATTCTGTGCGTCATCAGCATGACTGTGTTCTTTGCATCCAAATTACTAATTGTCGACTAACTATTCATGACCTGTCGATTTTAGAGTGGCAAAGAACTTACAGTGAAGGGCATACGCGCCTTGGAGTATGTTGGTAGGGAGACTCTGGACATTTTGGCTTCTGAAACTGGGTTTGAACTTGAGACTGACGAGAAGGATTCCGAAGAAAAGGTCCCTGGAGTAGTGGAGAACTATACAGAGGACGTTACTTTTGACCGCTGCTTTTATATATATGGTGGACCAGAACATTTGCAGGTTGATGTCTTCCATCCATACTTATATTTTCTGATGAAAAAGTTTGTTCTAAAATTGAGTACTTGAAGTGGATTTTGGACTCATTCTGAAAGGATTCTTGAGGACATGGTCTCGATTTAAACTTCGTCCCTTTGAATCATATCCAGTTGTACACTGATATATCTTGTTCTGAGCTTCAAAGTTTTTCCTAACATGAGCTAGGACATTGTCAGGAGCTGGAGGAGTTATCCAATCATTATACTTTACTGTGTAACCGAGCCAAAGCAAAGCTATCAGGCGAGGAAAGAGCCGCTTTTGAGTCGCAGTTGAAGCAACTCCAACAAGCATTATCATTTAATGGGGACATAGAGACAGAATCACCAGACTCTGGCAAGGGCAAGAAAGTCGCTGGTGCTGCTCACAACGGAAGTGAAATTAAGGCTCTTCGTGAGTCAAGTGTCAGCCAAGCTGCAGAGATGGCCACTGGGTAATTGCACATAATCTGATGTCTTAAGCCATGTTTTTGTAAGAGTTAACGGTATGCAATCTACTCGTGCCTGCCTCCACATATGTCCTAAGCTTGGTTGCACTGTTGCAGTTTTGCAGCAACACTCAGCGGGTTGGCAAAGTTAGAGGTCGTGCAGAAAACAAATGACCGGCTAGAAGCAATCAAGGCAGATAGTATTCATGTAAGCCGGAAACTTAGCCTTCTGCACTCTCCGCTTATCAAATTGAGTCTGTCTTAACCCTGACATGGATTCTGCATGCGTTGAAATTTTCTTTTTTTTGGCTCCCTAACAAGTTCTCTACTTGTTATTTTCAGAGCATTAACTTGTAATGATCTTATTTGTAGAACGTATAATGAGGTGTAGCCTTCGTTCATCGATGTGAAACCATTTACTAACAATGGTAATGGGTCTGGATTAATACAGAGACTCTCAGAGCTGTGCACGCTATGCATTGGGCATTTGCTAATGCTTGGGAAACTAGTTCTTACTCGAGAGAAAGAGGAAGAGGGCATGGAATGGCCTGATGACTGTGTGGCTAGGGGCCAGTTGATTGCGGCAAGAGCGCAGGCTATGATAGCGGACATAGAGGCTGTGTCTGACAGCTTTGCCACAGGTATGTCATAACTCTCGATACTTCTTTTTAAAGTTTGTAATAGTCAATCACATAATTGAAGAATTTTTTTTAAGTGTTATTGTATTACTAGATGACGTGTGTCCTGATAGAATTTTGCAATTTCGTCTGTTCCACTTGGAGGTCAGTTGCCTCACAACTACTAACCAATTTGTGTTTGCAGCTGTTGGAGATGTAACAGCCGCATTTCAAGATGCTATGAAGAGTGAGATCCACATCACCAAGGAAGGTGAGGAAGAAGATGTAAGACTAGGGTTGCAGAAAGGAGGCTCTACTGAGGTTCGAGCCCAAGCTTTGAACAGTGACGTACAAGAAGTTGCAAGTATTGCGGTTGAGAAAGTCCATGATGGCCTCCAGTTTCTCACATATGTAGTTCTCTCCACTTGCCTCAAAAAGTAAATTGCAGGTGGAACCTCTACCTCAGCAACTCTTTGTCCGTGTATTATTCTTTATCAATTCAAGGGAATTGAATTAAAATCAAGTGCACAGAACTGGGTATTATTGTAGGATTGTGCCATTTACTTTTTAACCTTTCTCCTGTTTTTTTAAACAGCTGTATGTTACAAACTCCTGTCCTCTGTAATTATGTTAATTCAATTGGTCATTGTGCCTTATGCTGTAGTAAATCGCCCTTGATGCTGTGCCTTGGTTCATTTCTGGTTTTGAAGTTTGCGACAGAGGATTCTTAAATGAACCAGACCACCCGAGTTTCCGTAGTGTGGTAAATTGCAGTGATTATGTCTATTGCCAATGGCAAGAGGGAGAAATGAATATGGCGAAATGAATGGAAACAACACTCTAGAAGTTTGTATGTTATGTTGGTTACGAAGCAACAATGCAAGCATTGGTGGCAGCGAAGCATGTGATTTCTCAGCTGAACTGGAGTGAAAGTGGCTCAACTAACACCCCTCTGCCGTTTTGAGTCTGCTACCTGTATGTAAGAAACTTGTGCTAAGCTTTAGTATTTAATCTGACAGAGGTAGTGTATTCTTCACGTCTCAAGACGTCAGCCAACGTATATGTGGTTTTGTGTGTGGCTGGGCTCTGAACCAAAAGGTACAGATTTTCAGGTGGGTAGTGGTGGGTTCTAAACTTATTTAGTATCGACCGATAAGAAGCAGGAATGTTCGTTATGTTGCCCTTTGGGTTTCTAACGGAGCCCATTGTTAATGCCATCCGGCACCAACCTGCAATGATCTCAAAACCTTTTGTGCCGACCTGAACAGTGTTAAATTGTTCCCTAATCATTAAGACTTCATGATGGTAGCGGAAAAACTCACTTGTACCCCTAAATGACTGCATGCTATGGATGGAAGCTTAGTGCGGTTTCCCTTATTTTGGTTTATCCCAATTAACCATGCTATTCCAACGTTTTAATTTTGTAGGTTGGGGCACCGCTGTCTGATATATCCTAGCATGAGCATGAACCAATAAGCCATGAAATAAATAAACTTCTGTTGAGGTTATTTCAACTCATGCAAATCTATATTTTGAAGTATTCCAGTCTTAGAGTATTGCCACACATGATTTTTCTGAATAGTAAGATACCTTTAAATATATGCTTTGCTAACTTAAAAGGCTAAGGTACTTTTAAAAAGTAATGCTAGTCTTTCCTTTTTATTGTTTTAACAATTCAGGAATCAGCTGTTTGGAGACATTTAATTATGAAATGTTAGAGCCATGATTTTATTTTCCACTCACCTTAAAAAGTGATAAAGATTTTGAGTCACATTTTGGATAGTCAAGTAAAAGACATGTCTTCTAATAAATAAACAATAACTAATAAACATGAGTTACAAATACTCAAATCATTAAATACATGTACATAAAACATGATCTCATCATGTATATATGTGTGTGTATATATATATAGATGTATACTCATAAAAATTAGGCAAGGTTGAATGCCAAAGTTGTATTATGCAAAAATAAATAAATAAATAAATACAAGATTTTTTACTTTTTAGAATGAAATAAAAATTTGAAAACTTATGTAATCCTAGTTGTACCTAATATCCTTAATCTGCACAAGCCACTAGTAGTATCAACCAGTAATTTGATATTATGCTCATGTTTTTGCAATGCAATACATGGATGGTATGACAAGCATACTTCTTGGATGTGCTCATATGAGCTCTCTCTTTGCAAGCTTCAAAATTCACCACACAAAATAACACCATGTAATAAAAAATTGCTCCCCAACACTCAGAAGACTTAAGACATTGTACCACTTACTACTCATTTGTGAAAACCTTGACTTGTAAGTCTTCTTCACAATCCATGGAAGTTGCAATAATCACAGTGAAGAAATCATTTGTAGAAATTATAGCAGCAACATTGTAGTCCAACATGTAGAAATAAGCATATTATCATAATAATAATAATAATAATCATAATCCTATGGAAGAATGGTTGGGTCTGTGTTCACATGATGGAGAAAGTTGGTTGTTGCAATTGGACTCTAAAAGATATGGAAACAGTCCAAATGGTGTTCATTAAAATGAATATTCTAAGACATCAACCTTCACCTTTAAAACATGGAACATGGAAACCAAATTAAAGCTAAAATGGAAATTCGTGGCTCGTCACTAAGAGCCCAATTATGCCACGATTGCTGCTGACTCAGCGCGGCATGAAGGGCAAATCGAAGAGACAACACCCCCCCACTCATCGAGGGGTCAAATCCAAGTCCCCTAAACTTATTGAGCCCTGGGATGGAACCACCTTGTGATCCCTTCACCACCCCCTATTGAGGCCGCAAACCCCCGAAGGGGCCCGGAAACCTCCGCGAAATTCTTCTGATGCAAAGTCAATGACAAGTCAATGCCATCAGCTTCCTTCCTTGGGATTCCCTGGAGCTCCCTCACCAAAGTCAAACCCAGTTTGCCCTGTATTTGTGTTGTCCAGCTCGCTAGATTATATATTATCTGACGATTTGCATGGATGAATGATTGCGTTCATCCATATAATCTCATTCTTGAACTTATAGCAAATACATTCACTTCAAAGTTTTTTTTACTAAAAAAAATAAAAATGAAATAGGTTCAGATATATAAGACTGAATTTAAAGAAAAATACACAATTATAATAGTCTAGTGGAGTTCATTTATCATGGTGGATCAGTGTTGAGTTCATGCATGCATGTAGCAAACTTTTGCACAAGTATAACAAAAGTTCATGCTTTTAACAATTTTTGCAATTAACTACACCTAAAATAAGACAAGGACCTAGTACTTACAACTGCATCCTTAACAGTGATGCCTTGATGCATCTATGAATACAACATGCAAAATAGTTTTTGAACAAGTTTCTTAAAGCTTTAGTTAAAACATCTGTGCACTTTTGAAAACATCACTTTTGATATGCATATTAAATGGTAAAAATGTTCTCACTTAAAGCTACTACAATATAATGCTGGGTTTAGAAAACACACAAAGAGTCTGATTTGAATAAAAAATTCCCTAGGGTATGGGTAAGAAATGTATGTATTGAAGGGAAAATATAATATAATATAATATAATAAATTGTAGAATAAACACACCTGCAAACCTACCCACCATCCCCCATATTAAATTCTAGGGTTATCAACATTCTTATGCTCATTGCATTGTGATACTCTAACCAAATTCTTGGGTTTGGTACCACATTTGCAAACCCTAAGGTTCAGGACATGATTCAAAACTACTTATTATACATGCATGTTATTGATAATAATAATAATAATGATGATAAAAAGTGGTGATAATTGTTTAGAATGGTGGTGTAAGAGAGGGAAAGATTGTTGGTCATGGGTCAAATTAGACTAGTTAAAATATTGTTGGCTTGGCTTCAAAGGAGGAAATTGTGCAGTGTTGAGATTATTTAGGTCCAATTTCAATGCATAACCTTTAATGTATATGCACTTTAATTAAGTTGTGATTTATTATATGTAATATATGTTTTATTTATTGTGGTGGATGTTAGAGAGCCCTCAAATACTATGCTCTGAAATTGAACAACTGGTGTTTTATTTTGTTTGTAAATTGAAGCACTGATAAACTAAACCACATTGATTAAACACATTCTGGAGACATGCAGAAATCTTATTTTTGTATCACAATCAGAATTTCATTTCAGTTTGCTTTATTTCCCCTTATTGTATGATCTCTCTAGAACTTTACAGTGGATTATCATGTTTTATGAGTATTACATGTGCAATTTGACATGTATATATAATTGCTCTTTCTGGCTATTTTTATGTAATGAAATGAAATTTATCAATGTATCAAAATGGGTCACTGAACATTAAAGCCAAAGAATATTTTAGCTCTGTTCTTCAAATTGATTATTATAATGTTAAAACACTTTGTGGACTTTCAATATTATGCTATTCAAAGAAACAAACAAACAAACAAATAAATGGTTACATTAGTGCGGATTACTTTTGAATTGCATAAAGTACTAGCTAGTAATTAATCAATTATGATTTTTTATTTAAATGTTTTAGAACAACCAAGCAATATGTACAAACTTACAGGTACATGCACACATAGCAACGAAATATTATAAAAATTGAAAGTAAAATCTTACCATTATTATATGACGTTTCAGAAACAATTATTAATATTTCATTCGTGGGACTTTTATATATTTAAAAATAAACTGTGATTATCAAGTTTGTTAGGAAATAATGGATCTCCAGGTTTAAGAAAAAACATATTATATTTTAATAAGAAATAAAGACATGGAATGACTACTATCAATCAATCAACCTCTCTCTATATATGTAACACTTTAAAGTAAAGAATGCTTTTATGTAATTCATATGTTTTTTGTTTGCCCTCCAAGAGTAATTCAACAATTCATGATCTTGGATTAAACACATTATTGTGCTACTTACTGACAATGAAAGACTATCAAAACTTCAATTACTTCTTGTACATACATTTTTATTCTTGCATAAGCATTTTAGAATCTGACATATTATTTACACTCATGAATAATTTTGACTAATTCTGGAATTTCAATGAGCTATGTTGCAAAATAGAATCGAATTGCAGAGTAAAATGTAAAGCACTAACCATTTGAAAACTTTAATTTGATTTTTACCCAGTTTGTTTGATTTATATGTTATTCCTTTGAACTGAGAAAAACAAAAATTGTGTACTAAAATCAACAAGTTATGGCTATTGTCTGCATGGAACATGTTTGAGTTCATGGATATCTAGTATATGTCTTCCAAATGATGTGAACATTCTCCCATGTGACATGAGTGTGAATTTCAGTACCACAGGTTGTAAAAGAATAAACACATGATGAACCTAAAAACTCAACCATGAAAATCAAAACGTTTAAAAACCTTAAGTTTATTTATTTATTAATAAAGAAGAAGAAAAGAAGAAAGAAAAAAACATTTGTAACAGCAGACCAGGTTGACTTGTGACATTAATCCAAATCATATATATATATATATATATATATAATTTTTAAAGAAAAGATAAAAGAAATACACCACCAATAAATATTCCTGAGTTTCAACTCATATCAATCAAACAAAGAGTTCCACCATCACTGCAAACACACATCATTAAGTAAATCATCAAACATAAATATTTTAAACCACCAACACCACAACGGCACAT